CTGCCACCGCTGCCTCAACACAAGTTTCATTCAATTAGCCCGCGATGCTGTGCCGGCAAAGTTCGAGAACATTTTGGCCCCAGAACCCCAGTATCCAACCGCCATTTGGAGTCTCAACTGTCAAATGGAAGGCGAATTGCGGCACACATGTGTGGGAATGTTAGGGGTGTATACGTCTAGTCTAGTCGTCAGACAGCTGGTGTGCTGCTCGCTCGGTGCTCTGGAGACACGCAAAATTTGGTATTAATTTTGAAATACATATTTGCGCGCTTGGTGTAGGCCAATTATGCCTAATTATGCACACTCATCTGAGTGAACAAGTTGTGCAAAGCATTAGGACCTGTGGGTGAGTGAGTGTTGGAGCTACAGCAATAGCAATACCCTTAGAATGCTCGATTCTTGCACTCAATGTTGGCGTCTTGCGGCTTATTAGCAATTTGTTGTTTTACACTTGAATTAACATGATTAGCTGATCTAATGGCCCGAGGTTGAAGCAAATATGCGCATTGGGCAAGTACTTGCAGCTCTACACAGCGCGAACGCAAGTGTTTCCTGCGCAACATTTGCTAAAATATCAACCGGAAATAAAGTAAAGTTAAGCACCACAACAGCAACAAAAATACCGACAAAAATAACAGTTGACCATTTAATAGTCGTATAGCATTGCGCTATAAATTTCAAAGTTCAGATGTAGGATTATAAACATTTATTTTTATATTTCTATTTGCTCCTCTCCCTTAAGCATGCCTACGGATAAAAGCGTACGAACTTTGGATTTTTTGCGTGACCAGCGCCCATCTGCCGGTCGTCGCAGCCTTATGAGGTACAGAATCACCAAGCACAGGAAGCAAGAATATTTGACAAGTTGATTCACACATGGGCGTCTCGTTCTTATGAAGCTTAAATATTTATCAAAGAGCTGCATAATTCCTGCTTACTAGTACAATACTTATTTGCGGGAATATAGAGAGGTGGAAATTTTTTGTTGCATACTTTTAGGATGCGCAATGCACGGTACACTAGATGTGTGATTAATTTTTGTGAAAAATAATCTTAGATTTTGGGTTTTTTCCACCCCAAACGGATGGAGAAATTCAACTATAATATTATAATTCAGCATTAACAAATGGTTATAAAAATAAATAACATAATTAATGTCGTAGTTTGGTTTGAGGGAGGTTCCTTATTTGTCTATCATCTTCTTGGTTAGGCAGCCATAATTTCATTTGAAATATAAAGTCGGACGCCTATATAACAATAAAATCAACATTACAATTAATGAACACCAATGCTACTATAAATGTTGTTGTAAATTTTTGGGCTTCAAAAATAATAAGAGCAATGTTGGAAACAAAGAAACTTTCCGCAATTCGTAGTTTTTCTCAAAATGTTCTCTTTAAATATTTTTATTTAACAAAAAGCTAATATATTTTTGGGAAGCTCTTTGTTATTCATATTTAACAGATCTGTGCTTAAATTAAGTGATAGCTCACATCATTTTGAGTGTATAAGTAAATATGCATAGTACGTATTTGCCGCTTATAATAATTTTTAAGGCACGCAAGTCAATATATATTTTACTTAGGACTAACATTTGCTTGGAAATTTAATTTTGTTTATTTTCATAGAAGAGCGTAGATGGAAGCACGCCCACCATTCCAACAAAGGATCACTGCATTAGTTTGTTTCGCAAATTTTCTTTTAAATGAATTTAACAGTAAAAGAGAATTGGATATATCGTACATACAAGTATATCTACTTGTATAATCACCGCACATTCGCCGCCGCAAGAGCAGAAGCAACAACAGATTTTGCCATTGCACGAACCATGCTAAAAAACCAAATTAAGCCCGGATTTACGCCTTGCTGCCATGAATTTATAATATGACTAAATATAGCTGTGCAACAAAGTCAGCTTTGTGGCCAGCGGCGTCGTTTTCGACGTTGTCGCCAAAGACAGCATCAAGGCTAGCGAAGACGATGACGTTCATCTATATATGTATGTATATAGAACGAATATATATGTATATTTACGTCATACGTCTTTTTTTGTTATCTATTTGGATGCCGAGGGCTGCAAGACAAATGCATCCTCACCAACTCGTTATTTATTTAGAAAGTTACAAGGCAAGGCACGGCTAGGATATGGAATGCGAGAGCCTGAGTTGCAACAACATTGGGTCCAACTTTGCTGCTGCAACGGGGTCATCTAACATTTATATATTTGTACATATATATAGCTTGACATGATTACATACTAAAGATGCGCATGTGTGATGATATTTGTAGACCTGCCTCTGTCAAGGGCTCATTTTCATAAACTTCAACTAAATGAGTTTATTTCCAGTTTCAAAGTGCCACCGGCATTCAGATGCTTCCTGCAGTCCCGCCTGATGCTTAAATGCTACGAAACCCTCCCTCCTTACATTATTTATGATTGTGACGAGTTACGGACATTTTAAGCCACAACCATCCGAACCAGTTACCAGCTGAACTTTTTAGTTGAATGTTTATAATATATATAAGTGCAAGTTGGTTTGCTAACGTATTAGAGTATAGAGCATAGAATAGGAACAGCGTACAAACATAGAGTAAGCACATTTTATTTAATCCATCGATGACAGTCAATTCAATTCATACTCAACTTACATAGCATTGTCACATCGAGTTGTAAAGTTTGTCGCCCTTGGTAGGCGATCAAAATGTTCAGAGATGAGACTTTTATAGGCGGTGACTTCCAGAACTTTCGAATAAAAAAACCCATAATTTTTGTTTTATCTTGTTTAGTACAAGGAGAGTCGTTGTTGAAATAAAAACTCTTTTTCAATCAGCTGGAACAGATCATTATTTGTGATTTAGATTTGATTTAGATTTTGTTAAGGACAGCTATTTACTTTCAGATCACTCTTTCAGTTTATAAATTTGTTTTACAGGAGCTTTTAAAGTTATAAAAATATTCCTGCAATGTTTAATTCGTCTAATGGTAAAGTTAATTCAGATGAATATATATTTTTCTGGTCAGTAAATAGTTTGCTTTAATACTTGTACAAGTATAGCCCTGGCAGCTGGGGTAATGCTGCCAAAATGTGTTACTCATCCCGATCTCAGCGGAACAAGTGAAATACATAAATAGACATCAAAAACCAATTCATACAAATGTAAATTCATTGGGCAGCCATCTTTTTGTTTCTTCGGTTGTCAATGGGAAAACATTTGAATTGATTTTCATTGAACATTTGACAAATTAGACGTTGCAGAAATCTCCATACTATTGTTAAGTGACTAAAGAATAATTTATTTCGCACGGCTGCCTTTTTTCGGTGTCTTTAAATGGAAATTCAACTGAAACGAATTTGTTATAAGTCATAAGTTATTTCTTATGTATTTAAAAATATCAATACGAAATTGTTGGTAGTTCTAACTTATAAGTATATCTTATTATTTATCATCAATGTATGCATTCAATTAAAAATATTTAGCTTGCCCCAAGAACTGTGTCCATCTCTAGGAAGACAGGATGGCTGGATGGCTGCAACGCCTCCCATTTGGCCAACGCCTTGACGTTTATGACCAGTCACACGACTACTGGCTTGGCCTTCAAGGCCTTTCGTAGACCTCGACTGCAGCTGCAACTATGTACTGGAAGTTGCACAAGTGGGGAAGTTTTTGCAGTTTGTGTGCCTGTCTGTTCGTGGATGGGCTTGGGTGCAATATAAATGTTATTTAAATGTTGGCAACAATGTTATGTCAAGCCTAACTCACGTCCCCATACCGCAGTGTGCTTCCAAGAACACGAGATGAGATGTCTTGGACGTAAACCGCAAGTCTCAAGTTGCTTTTGAAGATAATTTTCATGGCATTGTGTGTGTACGAGAGTCCCCGGTGATACGAATCCTGTCCTGGGCTGTTGGGGCTTGTGTGTGCTGCCATAAACAAATGTTCATATTTTATTATTTCATTTTTAATTTAATTGTTTAAAGTTGTTTGGGTCCCATACATTTTGATTGCCCACGCACATTTGGTTATGATTGAATTTGTGAGGCCCGCTGAGGGCCAAAAACACATGCCTGACAGGCTAACAGTCGCTCAGTCATCCCCATGGCTACTCAGTGGCTTTTCACATTGGTTGGCAAAATGGCAAAAATGCATAAAAACATTTTATGGCTGTTGTTGTCATCGGCAAATATGGAAATCAATATGGTAATAAGCATTTTGGGTTGTAAAAGAGCCAAGCATGCATGATGTCTCGCCTGCGACTTGCTGTGTCCCAAATGAATGGAATGCTGTAAATATATTATTTTATCTCGACTCTAGAATACCTTACTTATACCAACCCGAACGAGCAATGAACATATGTTTGTATGGATGGAGATGAGCTGTTCTTAAATGATTTTCATCTAATCCAACCAAGAGTGCCGATGTTATTGAAGAACATGCTTCAAATTAAATAAATCTTGTTGACATTGGACAGATCCGTTATTGTATTTTCTTCATGTTTGTTTTATTTCGTTTGTTCTTATATTTAAAATTTTTAACACTTAATCTTTCAAAAGCTCACAATGCATAAATAATTGTTCATCGTAGCAATAACTGCTGCTTCAAAGAATTTCGATTCAAAATATCACACCCAGGCTATAACAGGAAAAAGGAAAATGTACTTTTACTCCGAACTATGCATAAGATGGAGAATGCGTGAGAGATTATTTTGTGGATGAATCTAATGACTTTTCGTTTGCGGCTAATCACTCATAAATTATATATTGAGGACTATAACTACTGTATGAAAATGTACCTCAAACAGAAAACTTGCTGGCATAACTTCAAAACCAAGTTGTTCGATTTTTCGACCAATATCTCTGAATTTACTCGCCCTAACGCCCTGAGATTGAGTGTTTCATCATTCTTGCCTTCTACTTCGCTTAGCCGCAGGGTATAATTTCGAGTGGATTTGAACTGTCATCGGGTGGTTGTTGACCCAAGTGTCAGGGGAAAAGTCGATCACTTTGAAGTTAACACAGCACATACACAGGCACACACAAACACACCCAACTTAAATATACTTAATTGAGTCTCGACATGGAAGCTTTACGACGCTTCAAGACAAGGAGCCACATCGTTTCGGCGCTACCATCCAATCAGCGGGAGGACTTCTATTTGCGTCTAGTAGACCTCTATGGGCAATACGAGTGTCTATGGAACAGCAACTGTCTGGAATTTCAAAATGTTGCTGTCAAACGGCGAGCCTGGGAGTCTATTGCACGAGCCCTGGGGGGTCGAGTGACCGCCGAGTTCGTGAAGAATCGCATCAATGGCATGCGCTATAGACTAAATGTCTACAAACTGCAGGAAATTGAATATGAAATGAGCGCAGGCCAAAGCAAGCGACCGGAGAAGCTCTTCTACATGGATCGCTTTGCTTTTCTGGACAAGGTCTCGGCGGTGGCGAATGAAGAGGCGCTGCTAAAAGAGAGCAAAAGTTCTGGTAGCCTTTTGGACTCGATCAAGGCAAAGTCTGAAACCTCCACAACGTCCAGCTCTAAGTCGGAAGTGTCAAAGCCGCCAAGCATAGCCTCTATAGTCAAGCAGCGTCTTCTGCAGGATCAGCGTCTTCGTAACTTGACCGCAACACGCGAAAGACTGGAAAGTGACATTGCGTCGGCTAATCGACCTCAATCGACATTGTTCACACCGCCTCCATCGTCTCCGCAGCTGATAGCGTATCCAGGCGAGTCGATATCGCGCACCCAGATGTCCACGCGTTCCAAAAAGCCGATGGCCATTTTTGAACGTTCGCGTCCTCGTCTGGACCACAGAGCTAAGCCGCAACCGCCAGCTGTGGTGATCCCGATGGTGCCACCGCAGGACTCTGTAGCGCTGCTACCCTCCGATGAGGAAGAACTCTATCGCATGCACTGGAAAGTGCGACAACAACTGCGGACCCGTCGTTCCACGCGCATGCGCAGTGGTCTGGAAATAATGCCGCCCACAGCGCGATTTCGGGAGCTGGAGCAGATTCCGACGCTGCGACTCAGCAACAGCGATATGTCCAAGTGAAATTGTTTTCAATTGTTTGCTGCACGCCCCGGTTAGGAGTTAAGGAGAGACACTGACTTTAACCACCGCCCAACTTCAAATAAAGTATCCATGCAATGGGGACCGAATCCAAAATTTAAAAGAAAAACGTGATCCTTTTACAGAAACAATAATTTTAGTCAGCAAATACAAACATACACATTCTCGTACCTTCATTATAAGCTAAAGGTGTCCTTACATCCAATTCAGGTGAGCCGTTGCTCAAAAAAGGGTAATCAGTCGAACCATTGGGATTTTTCTGAATACGAAATACTCATATACATAGTATACATGTACTATATATCGTACGATTGCCTTTTTGGAGCATTTGACTAATCGTTTCATAGCAGTCAGCTCTTGTCTCAATTGTCACAGCAATATCGGCATTTCTTATTCTACCTTATGTTCATGGTTTCGGACTTAGGATCATGCTGGGTTGTAAGCAGCCTTCCCAATTTGTTTATTGCGGCCTTCATCTAAGTCCGCGATTTTAAAACAGAAAAGTGTTGAATAGTGTTGTATTGCCACCAGCTTCGCTCCTAGCATGTTCAGTTGCAAAGTGCGGTTAACAACACTGAACAATATATCGATACAAAGTCCCACACTGACACCGTTTTTTTTTTCTTTCTTCTTCTTCTTCGAATTGACGGGCCCTTCAGCGCTACATCTTAATAAGCTTTATTTTTTACAAAGAAAAAAGAGAAATTTTATCAAATTTTAGAATGGCTTACCAAATGTACCGCGCTAGTACTTTAGGCAAAACTCTACAAGATACTATAGAAGAATTTATGCAAGTAAGTTCCAGATCCAAAATTAACACAAATTACAGCAGCGGCAATCAAGATTTCCACTAATTTAATCTGGAAACATCCGCTCCTAAAAGCTTCAATGTGCTGTAAATATGGATGTAAATTGAAAATTAGGCAACAGTTCAAATTTTGAAAGCATTGTTGCGAACTTTTTTGTGATTTTAATGATTTTTAGATATATATATGTATATGTATATAACATATAATCCAATTGGACATCACACAGAAATGTTCCTTAAAGTTTCGGGATGAACCAAAAAGACCAATAAAGACTTGAAAATTTAAATGTGTAGAATATGGAAATACGCAATTCCTTCTCACATTTCTTCCATTAACTGCGTATGCATTTTGTTTTACAGTGGGGCCAGATACCACAGTCGTTGGCCTACAAGATGTTGCTACAATACGATCTTAGTGTCAATAAGGTGCTCCCTCAGCGCGCCCACGCACGCGTCACCTTCAAGGCTCGCAAGCTGGAGAATTATCGCTGCTGCGATAATGTCTGGACCTTGATCCTGAGCGATGTGACGTTCTGCGAGCAGAACGAGTTTCTGAAGATTGACCGTCTCAAGATTGTCTCTTGCGATGGGCGCGTAGGTGCCTGCCGCTGATTGTACACGTGTATATTACAGAAACAGCAACAGCACAGGACCTTGGAGCGAATTAGGATTCATTATTCAATTCAAATGCTGCAAAGGTCTTAAATGCTGTAATCACCTCAACTAATTAATCAATAAACCGACGCTTCATTCTACACTTATTATTGGGTTGATTGGTTATTGATTTCCATGGACGATTCTTAGCAAGTGCGCCTGAAAAGAACAATCGATGTTACTCTTAATTAAAGTATTTAATTACTTTTCTAAATACTTGTATATTATGTGAAAATTACTTCCTCAAGTAAAACACAACTTGAAATCCTCCCTCAGTAACCATTGACCTGTCAGACACATCTCGCTTCAATATACAAATTCGTCTGTTGAACTCAATACTCTATTCGGAAACGTTTAAGATTCTGCTCCCGGCCAAATTTTAGATTGCACCAACGCGAAGCACTCATAATATGGACAACCTACTGGGCAACTCCATTAAGTTTCATGTCAGCGTTGGACGCTCCTGCCAGACGTTCTACGATCAGGTGAGAAGCCACAAGCTCTATCGCTACCTGATCTTCTACATACGTACTGACAATGTCATTGACATTGAGAAAATTGGAATGCGTCGCTGCAACTACGAGCAGTTCCTGGACGATCTACACAAGTGTGGCGCCGGCGATTGTCGCTTTGGCATCTTCGATATTGAATATGCTTGCGACTGTGTCGGGGGCATTCACTCGCCGGGCTATCACGATCGTCTGCTACTAGTTCATTGGTGTCCCGAAGGTGCAGACGACACCAAGAAGATGCTCTATGCGGCCGGGCTAAAGGCACTGCACCAAATTCTGGGCGAGCGGCAGGTGATCATCAAGGCCACAGACTTGGCGGAGCCAACTCTGGCCCGAGCTATTGAGGAATGTCGCGCTCTGGACTGGTAAACGTAAAGAATGGAGGGCTTTACACACATCCGAATCAGCTGTTCGATAAATTGTAGTTCCTTATCTAGTTACATATTTTGATTGTCAAATTTTGATTACAATATAGTTGAATTAAAATTTAGGCGAAAACCAGCACATCAGCAACAAAAACTCCGTTGCCATTTGGACTGCGTTCCAAAAGCTTGCCACAAGTCTCTAGTTGCTTTTAAAGCCCGCTTTCCATATTTGTTAACAAAACCCGAGCGCCCCATTTGCTGGTGTACTGCCATAAACAAATGCTGTTTATACAAGTATTAAATAATCTCATTTGATTGTTTGCACTTCTTAGGGTCGCATACCTACATACTTATATTCTGATGGCACACGCAGGTTATTTTTTCATCACTGGGCTTGTGCGGCCTTTTGGTAGCAAAACACACTTTTGTATTTTATTTCAATTTCCAGCGAAACCATTTTCAGACAGCAATCACATCGGGCCGGTTAAGTCCGCCCATATTAATGAAAAATGTCATCAAAAGGCACACAAAAACATTTTTAATATTTAATGCTCAATCATATTATTTGTGAAGTAGATTAATAAATAATTCCGCTTAAGTTTGATTCTTTTATTACAGTTTTTTCTTACGAAATTGTTCGTCAATGTTTTTGTACCGATCCATGTTAGCATCTCTGCCAAACAATGCATATTTCTTTATTATAAAGAACTGCTAAGCAAATGCAATCTCAAAGAAATACTATAGCATTGAAGAATGGCGATTTATGTGAAAATGTTTTCCTTTTCTTTCAGCCTATGTACATACATATAATAGTTTGTCTGAAAACAATTTTTTCAGAGCCTTTTTGTGTTGGACTTTGATAGAAATAGAACTGTTTTTTTTTTTTTTTTCAGTGTACCTTTATCAACTCAAGTTCCATTAGTCGTCCAGCCACACAGCGCTGAAGCAACGTAACGAGAACAGATATAACATCTTCATTGTGATTGGAGCTCCGAACCGAGAACAAAGGAGGTAAACAATGCTCGGTTAGAAAGCGTTTCCGGCTGCTTTAAGCGAATTACAATTGAAAATTAATCTGATGGCATCATTTCCTGCAAATTGTATAAGTATGGCAAAAAAAATCTAAATTTAATTTTCTGGTTGCAAATTCAAGGCTTGCATCAACAAACCATCAAGGATACTAGTAGAAGCAATTTAAAAAATGTATGTACATTTTTTGCGGCGAAAAAATGGCCATGATGAAAACTTTTGTTTTAATCTCATAATTATCTCTTAACAAAAACAGCTATAAAACATGCCACAACACTGGCAGTAATCGCTCTCCGAAAGCTGTCTGTAATGATGGCTTACTCTACCTCCGATGGAGGGGATTTAAAAACATTCGCTGGTCAAACTTCTGGCTGACTGAGCGTAAAAAACGCAATATGTTTTACGTGTGGGCTGTGCGAATGTGTGTGTGTGTGTGTGTGTGTGTGTAATACGAGCACACAATGTGGGTATATAAATGCAGCCAACAATACTTGTATGTTCCCGCTGCTGTTGTTGTCGTGGCCAGCTTGTACTTGTATTTATTTTACCAGTGGCGAATTATTCCCCCCACCGAATCCTTCGTTATTTCTGTTGTTGCTTTAAGCCTTAATTTCCAAATTGTATTTTTGCCGACGGCATTCTCGAGCTTGCTTGCCAAAGTACACACTAATTTCTTCCCGTTGTTCCGCTGAACACGTTTGCACAATTTGGCGCACTTAAAGGCATTCGAATTAAATGAACGAGTTCTTTGACGTCTCCTTCAGAGGGGCTTCCTGCTTATAAAATAAAAATATCATGCCAAATGCCAGGTAACTCATTTCCGTCGCGCTTTAAGATGCCGGCCAAGACGTGGAATGTTCATTTCATTTCCGTATAGTGTGCTGGAAATGCGTAGACATGGCGAGCCTGACATGTTGATGGCCACAAATCTGAGAAGGCATTAAAGCGGCTCTTAAAGTTGCCAGAATGTACATTTTTACTCATGCAAATCCTTTTGCTCCGCAATATCAATGCCCTGGCACCCCATCACTGCATCTATCCCTGTCTGGCATGCTGTCTGTTGCTTGCTCTTTCGCACGCATAAATTGGCAAAATTTTAATTTTCCACTAGATTTGTGCGGATTTTCAGCTCGTGTTTTTTGCTCTGTTCGATTTCCTTTTTGCATTCGCTTTGATTTTCGACCAAAATGGCTTTATATGCGAGCGCGTATGTATGTGTGTGTGTGTGTGTGTGTGTGTGTGTGTGTGTGTGTGTGTGTGTGTCGACTGTTTTTTCCCTTGTCTATACTTGTATTTATAGTTGAACAAATATTTGTAACTTTTGTTATCCGTTCCCTTTACATTCGGCTACGCTTATTGAACTTTAAGCTTGTTTCCAAATTTTTAAGCTAGTATTTATTGGTTGCTTGCGAAGAGGAAGTTGCCTCAGATCGCTACCACTGGCACTGTCCCTACCACATATCATTTGACATTGTTGCAGTGCGAAGCACTTACTATACTTCTACTGATGGTAAGGAAAATCTTCTCACAATTTGCATTCTAGGTGCTTGCCTGGCTCCTAATGGATTGCAATTGCAGATAATATAGGCTGCCATTTATTATTCTTCACGCCCTCACCCACTTGAACGGCAAAAGTTATCAACAAAATTTGTAAGCCATTTGTTTGTTTGTTTGTTTGTTTGTTTTTCTCACTTTGCGTTCCATGTGCCCGACGTGCTCAACTTCGATTTGATTAATATCACTTAACTGCCAAATCAAATGGAAAGCTCTGTTATGCATACATACAAGTATAGTACCTATGCACCATGTACTTTATGTATATGTACAAGTATGTACGTACATATATAGCTACATATATGTATATGACTTGTTCATATAGTCATAACAGCGGTGATGGTGGGAAGTTCGCAACTTGCTTATCGTTAGCGCGAGAGATAAAAAGTCAGATCCGAAACTTTTGCAGCAGCTGGAGCTCCCACTTAACCCCACCTCTTCAGAGATTCAAGCCAAAGTATTTTTAGACATGGCCTTGATGCGTGCGCGACTGGCAAAACAAATTACACTTAAAAGCAATGAGTTTTAGCCTCAAAACGTTTACAAAGTACACACACTTAACTCTTTATTTTGGGCCTACTCTTCGAATGCTCATGGCTCATTACCGAACCAAAGACCAACAAGCACACAGAGAGGGGGAAAAGGGAGAGGCAAAAAGCAAAACAAAAAAATCGTGAAAATTTAATTTCTGTTTGTGGCATTGCCTACACAAACTTGAACTTGCAACTTGCCCCATCAACTCTTGATTAATTGATTGATAACTTGGGTGAAGCTGAATGGAGCCTGCACAGTGCGGACTTTCTATTACATTCGCAATCGAATTCGCAAAATCAATTTCAGCTGTGGGAATATACTTGTATGTACTTATACTATATAGAAGTATTTTTCAGAAACCGGACATGCTTGTATATGCATTGAAAATAAAAACAAAAACGGGTGCTTAAGTAATTTTCAAAGGCAATAATTCAATATTATGTTTTGTAATTAATTTCCTATATTAATCCTTTTTTAAGCTGAGTATTTAGAATTCTGGATAATGCTTATTTTGTACTGGTAGGAATATGTTTGCGGAATACATGCACATACTTAGCTTTACAAATTGACCCAACTAGAGTTTGTCTTTCTTTGATTTGTTAAGTTGGGTCTGCTGAATGTATTTAAATAAATATTGAAACTACATTTTTGTTTTGAGCAAAGCATAAATGAAATAATTAAATAAAATTGAGGTACAATTTTCGGTCAGCTACGCATTTGTGGAAATTTTGATTTTGAAGGTAACATGATTAGTAAGTAACTTTTAGTAACGTTTCTGAAATTATAAACTTCTTAAATTATAAAGTTAAAAGCATATACAGTCAGTATCGCATATCGACGAACGACGAAATTCGGATTACTACTTAGCTTAGCAGCGTTTTAAATGAACAACGACTATAAAGACTGTATGTCGCCAGTCTCTTGAATGTCATTATACGCGATATAAAAAAATATTGTTTGATTCATTTTCATCGAGTGTCAAAGCAACTTTCGGCTTGTCCATGAAAGTAATAAAGTAATATTTTATTTTTCGCAACAAAAAATGATCTTTGACGACAGTGTGGCTTGGCGGATGTAACGCTTATTTGATTTGCCTCAGCGGTCGCGGTAGCAGTTGGGCAACAGCCCAACATCAAATTTCCTCTTCCAAGTGCCGAGCAAGCTCCAGCGCGAATCCACCGCCCTTTCCCGAGCCATGGAGCATTCATTTGATTTGTGGTGCCGCTTTTCACAACTAATTACAATTGCGAGCCGGCTCATAAATTAAACACGCAGCAGTCAGTCTCTGTAATTTTCCCAGAGTTGTGGCCGCGGTAGTGGCGCTTTGAGGGGCAGGAGGCACAGGAACGCGGGATGAGGTAGGATGAGCTGGGATGAGACGAAACCAAACGAATGCAGCGGCAATTGTGGTATTGCGGCGTGCAGCCTCTGAGGGGTGGGGCGCCTTAAAGGGGGACAACGACAACGTACTCGTATAAGTCAAAAGTTATGCAGTGCTTGACTTGATGGCAGACCGGCGTAGACATTCGGCGATGTAAGGACATGCTGATTCGTGCTGGAGAAGGGGGGGTGAGATGGAAAGTGTAATTGCGCATACGCACCGTTGACACAGCGACTGAAATTGCAGATGCGAAATTATGTGAAAATATGCAAACTGCGTGCTCGTTGTCGCAAATTGTCGGGCACGTCGGTCGAGCTCGAAACTAAGAGCTTGGAGACCGACGCCAAAAGCAAGATCAAAACCAGAATTGGCAATGGCATTAGCATTCATATGACATGCACATAGACTCTCGGCAAAATGTAATGATATAGAGCTGTAGATGTGGGCTTTGACTGTGCGGCAGGATATCCTGCTTGTTTGCCATTATGACTTAATTATGAAATAATATTTTTGTATTAGATTGTTTCCCTCGCTGCTTCCTCCTACTCGTATTTTGTGTTTTGTGTTTATTTTTTATTCTCTTCCTCTGCTATAGTCACAAATGGTCTGCCCATAAAACTGAACAACACACGGCAACTACATTCCTCATCCTTAGGCCATTCATTTGCATGCGAGAAAAACTTGGTGGGCCGACCAGCACGCAAATGATGTGTCGAATAAATGACAAGCTCATGCATGTTTGTGTGTGTGTGTGTGTGTGTGTGCGGCCATGAATACAAATGGAAAAGCAGGTAGCAGCAGCAGCAGCAGCAACAGCAACAGCAACAGCTGACATAAATGTATCTTCCTTGTTGCGAGTTTAATTGCACAAACTTTAACGTCGCCATTTACGACTGCAATATAAGAGTCGAAACTTCCATTTTTTGGCTGCCACTCTTGCTTTTTTATAACCACATCCAGATGACGTAAACTCGGCGCCAAACAACGTCCAAGGACTTGGCATAATTTATAAGGTAACGTGCTCTCGCAAACGTGCGACGTTAAGCGTAATGCGTCAATGTTCCTTGAGTGTTATTTCATCGCCAGGCGTGTGTGATCAGCGTTAGGATGAGCAGGATGTGCTCCTTTGTGTGAGAAACTAGGTAAGACGATACACACAAGTGTTGCACAAAGCTATACTCAACACCGAACTAATCCTTTAAAAATTACTGCTATTTTTTTAACTTTTTAATTGAAAATTGTCTAATTCATTTAATTGTTGTTGAACAATCTACTTTTATTTTAATTTGTAATATATACATGTGTATTGTATACGAAGTCTAGTAATTATTCGTAATTGGTTTCCCTCGATGAATGGTCTGTGATTGCATAACAACAGCAGCAAGATTTAAACACTTAACATTATTTGAGTTCAGTAAATGAATATTTAATAAATATAAAAACAACCAATCTGATCATCATCGTAATACATGTGTGTATGATTCATAATCTAACAAGAAATATTGTTTTAAATAATATCTAAGTTTATCGCTGATAAATAGCAGCCCTTATGGGAAATAGGAGAAGAGAGGAAAGAAACATTATGTCGATATCGCTAGGCAATGACGTTTTCCACTTCTTAAGTTGTTCACCAACATGGGAAAAACGTTAAGTTCAGTTCACATATGTAAAT